ACAATAATACAAATGGGATGGCCTTAACAAGCAGGAGTTTATTCTTACAATTTGGAGGCTTTAAGTCCAAGTTCAAAGTGCCAGGCTCTAGGGGCTGGGTGAAAGCCCCTCAACCTTGGGGTCCAACTCCGCCTCCTGCTCCCAGCCCACTGGAGCTAGAGGCGTTTCTTCACTCAGACAGCTGCTGGCTGCTGAGGCTGAGAAGCCGCAAGGTTGACAAGTAAAAAGGCACAGTCCTGATGTTACTAAACCACATGGCAGGCCATTAACTTAAGTCCATTGTAAATCCCAAGGTAAGCAGAGCATGTCAGGCTGCTGAGCAATGACAAGGCTACATGCAGAGTCCAAGCGTGCCATAGGCTAGGGACCATTCTCAAGGCTTCTCCTTAAATACAGGAAGCAGACCACATACCCAAAGCAGCTACTCAGCTTCTTGTGGTAGATCCCACCATGGAGTTGATCGCTAGTCTCATCATGGTGAATAACTACCACCAGCTGCCCAGCCACTCAACCAGGCCCAACCAAGTTGACACACAAACATAACCACCACACTTATTATATATTTCACCACAACAAAAATTAATTAAAAGAAAAACCCAGAGCCTTAGTTAACAGAAAAAGCAAAAACAAAAAAAAGGAACAACAGGTTTTCTATGTTACCAACTCCCACTTCCTGTACTCTGGCTTCTCTGGGAAGCTTCTTCACTGACTTTAAACATGTCTTGTGGCAGGGGAAAACAGGCTAGGAAAGAACATGTCTCACGTAGTCACCGCTGCATAGGCTGGTGCCAGACACTCTGCTCTTTCTGCTAAACACTGGATATTATTAGGCTAAGATCATTTCTACATTGTTTCTTTATTTGTTTGCATTCCTAGCGCTCCAAGGAGAAGGCAGGCCATCAGTGGCTGCAGGGGAAAACAGGAGTTCCAAGCAACAGATCCCTGACCCATACAAAGAATGGGGGTGAAAAGAGGAGGAGAAACGGGTCAAGAGACCCTACGGAAATGTCAGTAGACATGTCTAGGGGAAGGATTACAGGGCCTAATTCTTTACTTAAGTGTGTTAAAGATTTCTTCTATGTTTTACAAATTTTAGAAATGCATCACTTGAAATTTAAAAAATAAAACAACAGAAGTTTAATACAGGCACCACAGCTTCTTCTAACCTGAGACCAGAAGAACTAGATGGTGCCCAATAACCACTACTGATCTTCTGACCAGGATATGATGGAAAGTCCTGGATAGAATGGAAGAAAAATATAGAACAAAACTCAAATTTCTAAAAAAGGCAGACCTACTGGACCAATAGAGACTAGAAGAACCTCTGAGACTGCTACCCTAAGATAACCTTTGAACATGGAATTGAAGCTATTTCTGCAGGTCACCTTTCAGGCAAATAATAAATTGGCTTACAAAATAAACATCACCACCCATGAATAATATGCTCCCTCAAACAATGAACTATTTGAAACCAACAGGGTCAGCATTTACCCAAAAACAAAGGTGAGAAGGCAGGAGAGGCAGGGAAGCTAGATCCATGAAAACAGAACAAACAGAACGGAAGTAAGCAGAATGCTGACACAATGTAAACATGGAATCCATGGCTCACAACTGTTAAATGGGAGCCTGATTTGCTGTGTAAACTTTCACCGAAAACATTATTAAAAGAACAATAAAACAAAGAAAAAGAAAAGTTTATTACAGGCAAATCTGCACCCTTGGTCTCACTGCGCTGGTTTAAGGCCCAGTTCTACGGCTGCTACGGGAAGGGTGCTCAGTGCCCAGCCCCCTGGTGACCTCAGACAAATCCAGCCCTGTAGGCAGCAAGAAGAGCTGGTAAATGCGGCAGGAAAACAGGAAAGACTGACACAAGGCGGTCCCACCAGACCCAAGGAGCTGGAAGCTGCTGCACACATCCGGCTGCTGCCACCAAGTGTGCCACCCTGACTGGCTACAGCATTTAGGAGGACTCCCACAGGGTGGGCAGTCCTG